TTGTCAAAGACTTCATTTTGCTGGAATCACCATCAACACTCATGGCAGTAAGTAGCAATCAAAAGACAGATTGCACAAAGCAAATCTGCTACACAAGAACTCTTTATAAAAAGTGTTCAAGAGCAAAGATACCAGTTTGAGGACTAAAGTGCCCCTGGGCCAAGCTATGGTATTTTCAATAGCCTGATATGCTTATGAAAGTTGGACAATGCATAAAGAAGACAATGCATAAGAAATGATGCAGTTGAGCTCTATGGTGTTGGAGAAGAATATCAAAAGTAACATAAACTGCCACAAAAGTAAACAAATCCGTGTTGGAGGAAGTACAATCAGAATGCTCCTTAGAAGCCAGGATGACCAGACTTCGTCTCTCATACTTCCTGCATATTATCAAGAGGGACCATTCCCTGGAGAACATCATGTTTGGTAAAGTGGAGGATCAGTGAAAAAGTGGAAGACCCCCCCAAGGAGATGGAGTGGCACAGTGGCAGTAGCAATGAGCTCAAGCTTAGCAACAATTGTGAGGAGACACCAGGACTGGTGATGTTTTGTTCGGTTTCACATAGGGTCACTGTGGGCTGGAAGTGAGTCAAGGTCACGTAACAACAGCAAAGTAAAGCTCCAATCTCAAAATAGGAAATGGCAGTGGTCCCTATGCTGAGTAGTGGTCCTTCAGGAAGCAAGAGCAGGTCTCATGCCGCATTTCAGACAAGCCTTCAGAACATCTAACCCTCCCCATCCCCCCACTGCCTCCCAGTTTGTCTCTAGTCCCTGTAACACCACATTCTCCATCAAATCCATTTCAAAAGACTTTCTTATTTGCCATGGAGTTTCTATTTCTTTCTATTTAATTGAAAAGTAAGCCTGGTGTTTGAAGAAAATTGGAAAGTACAGAAACGCACAAAGCCCGATCCGATCACAGAGCTAACATTTTGGCATGTGGTTATCCAATGTCTTATAGAAACACAACGACATGGATTGACTTGGTGGCAGCAGTAATGGCTCAAACGTATCAACAGATGTGAGGACAGTACAAGTCCGGGGCAGTGTTTCGTTCTGTCACGCACAGGGTCGCATACAGCTTTATAACAGCTTCATCTATTCAGTATCATTGATGAGTAAAAGTAAAAGTAAACAATCACAAACATTTTGCTGTGGTGTTCAGTGTACTTTCTATGGACTGCATGCGGGATTTTGTGCAGTGTGGCTCTGCCCTAATTTATTGAAGAAATCCGAGGGTGTAGGGACGCTCTGCAGTCCAGAGCTGCAACCACCCTTCCCCCTTGCTGTGTGACTCAGGAATCCGGAAGGAATGACTGTGTGTGACTTGTATCAAGGTGTGATTCTCAGTGTCATGGGGTCCCTGCGCTCTCCGGGTTGTTTTGAGGTGATCGCGGATTCCTGTCAAATGAGATGTCTACTGAGTATCAGCATGAGGCCGGTGGTGTTTTTTTCTGCAGTCTATTGCTGTCCCATCTGACGAGGTTCAGCAGATCTCAGAGGGAAATGGGCTCAGCCCGCAGCCCTGTAAGCAAGAGGCAGGCCTACCCAGGTCCCCAAAGAGCCTTTTACATGAATACATTTGTCTCTTTTGTCAGGCCACCAGGATTACACCTACTGCATAAAAATCGCTGCCAGCCAGTTTTTAAAAGCTGGTTGCCTCCCCTGTTGCTTTTCCAACAGCTAGCTCAGGGGTATGTTGTGTCTTCCATCTATCAAGGATGATTAAGGACTGGGAGTGTTGATATATAAAGGCAGATTAAGCAAACTAAATATTTACGACTCGACTGACTGGCCACCAAGGGGCTAATATTGTGACTGTTTGCTAGGCTTCCTGGAGAAGACAATTGTTTTGCTTTACCCAGTCACTTGATTTTGTTGTTGTTAGTAAGTACCATGGAGTCAGTTCCGAATCATAGCAACCCTACACAGGGTTTCTGAGGCTGTAAATCTTTACGGGAGCAGAAAGTCTCATCTTTCTCCCATGGAACCGATGGTAGTTTCAAACTGCCGACCTTGAGGTTAGCAGCCTGACTCGTAACCACTACGCTAAAGTTCTCTGGGCATGACACCATGTAAGCAAATGAAATCACTCCATCAGAAATTGGGTTGAGCTGCTAGTAACAAACTTGAGACAGCCATGGCTTCAGCGCATCAGGGTTTCGTTTTCTCTCCTGTTACATGAAAGCCCAACATCCAGCAGTTCCGTGATGTAGCTGCAGCCAGCTGACTCTCCGCGCTGACTTTACTGAGGTCACCTTGTAGTTGGAGAGAAACTACAGCAGCTCAGTCCCCATGGCTGGTTTCCAGAAAGGGAAGAGGCAAAGGAGGCCCTAGCCAGCTGACTCGGGAGCTCGCAGGAACTTCTTGGCAGTCCCATCTCGTGCTTCTTTTGACATCTCATTAGCTACCACATCTGCAAAGGAGGCTGGAAGATGGCAAGAGGTGTTTGGTTTTTATGTTGGGCACATGGCTGACTTCAACAATATCAGAGTCCCTTCTCTAAGAAGGCAAAAGATATTGGGTGTTGGATAAGCAACTAGTGGTTTCTCTCACAGAGTTTCCCTCTCACAGATTCTGATAAAGACTGGACTAGACTATTGTGTTGTAAATGTCCCTCTATAATGCTAGCCCTTGGGGTTGAATGTAATTATGTAAGATCTCCTGATCTAGTCGTTGGATATCCTGAGGCTGACCATAAACTGACCATCTCGGTGATGGAGGTTGTGTGCTGTAGAGTCGGTTCCAACTCATAGCGAGCCTGTGTAGTGTTTCTGAGGCTGTAAATCTTTAAGGGAGCAGAAAGCCTCATCTCACTCCCACAGAACTGCTGGTAGTTTCAAACTAGCTGATCTTGAGGTTAGCAGCCCGACTCATAACCACTACGCGACCAGAGCTCCTTGACCATTTCAGTAGACTTAAGAGACAACTGCAAATCACTAGCTTTTACTAATTTCCATGCACTGTGTTACACATTTAAAATCATCACCAGTATAATCCAAGGGGTGGTGAAGTGGGTACCTGAAATCAGACTCCTGTGAGTTTCTAATGTTGCTGTTAGTAGCCTTTGCTTCTAGCTCTTGGTCCCCCCTGCATATGTACAGAGTAGAATCGCTTCATAGGGTGTTCAAGGCTGCCACCTTTCCCAAGCAGGCCACCAGACCTCACTTTCAAGGCACCTCTGGATGGATTTGAACCATCTACCTTTCAGTTAGTAACTAACTGCAGCTGGACTGATGCTGGAGGAGTTTGCAGCTCAGTCCAGCCCTTAACCATTTGCACCTACACTCACCACACACACGCGCACACACAAAGGACTTCATGGTTAAAGCTAGAAGACCCATACATGAAGGATTTGCTACAATATTTTCTCTACTTTTATAATTACTGCTATTTGCATAGTTTTAAAAAAAAATGTTTTCATCACCGGATCCAGTTGCTGCATGGCTTCGCCCCCCGACCCCCACTGCTCAGGGTCTAATTCTCAGAGTTCAACTATAGCTAAGGTCACACAGCCAGTGAGTGGTCAATCTGGGATTGACACCCAGGTCCATCTGACTTAGACACTGGTGTGCTAACCCCTGCTGCTCAGAGAGAGCATGGTCCCCAGCTTCTCCTGGAAACTAGTGCTACATATGAGTGTGAGCCTCCCCACCCCCATCCCAAGACCTTGCACAAGCGCCCAGGTAAAATGTGTTCTCACACGCAAGTTTGATGTGTGCGGCCCCTACTGCTTTCCAAAAGCTGCCAATCAATTGTACCTTTCTTTACATAAACATCTGCTGGTAGCATAAGCCCTTTGTATAAGCACTGAATTCCCAGGAGGCGTGTGTTTCAATGCTGACTGTCTGCTTGTGCTGGACACCTGTGAGTCAGCCTGACGTCGGAGCATCAGCCGCTGTGGATCACTGCTGGGTTGAAACAGAATTTGGCTGGCTCTGTGTCATTCAGGCCCTTGTTTCTTTCCCCTTGCAGTGCTCTGAGTTGTGGAAACCTCTGAGATTCACTAACCACAACCTAGGTTCCATCGCAACCTCCTCCAGCCTCAGCTTTCTGCCCATATGGAACTTTCTGGAAAGGATTTGCTTTTTCTCCCATTGATTGCTTACTGACTTCTCTTTACTAATGATGGATGCCCTCGTGCTTTATAGTTTATTGCCTGTGGTCCCTTTGGAACAAGTGAAGGAAGGAGTAATGAAGCTTCATCACAGCCAGACACACTGACACATGGGCAGGGGCTGGAAAAAGAGCTTGCTGTAAAAAGTGATTAAGATGACCTTCCACCTCCGCCCACCACAAACTTTTCTCTGAAAGCGGCGAGGCCCTTACTGTGTTTGCACATTGCAAAGTTAATCTAACTGCCAGATGAACTTGGTGGTCTTATTTATGACAACAGCCCTCAGGTGATGTACCTACTTAGCACCCAGGGCTGGATCTCAGCCTCCGCTGCAGGAGAGGTGAGGAGAGCTGGCATGGCTCCAGACTGTCACGGTCTAGGTCAGCCCCTCCTGGCTCCTGCCGAGGGTCGCTGCTTTTGTTTTTCAAGAACTCTTCCCCCTACCAGAATATTTCACCCCGTACCAGAGTCTTTTTAAACTGGCAGATAATCACTGTCTCACGCACTTCAGCCTGGTGGAAATGTTGTTAGTTCCTGATGTGTGTGCTGTGACGCATGACAACTTTATGGTCCGCAGAAGGAGACGTTTTTCTGGTCCATCATCATTGGTGGACTCGAGTCCAGTTATCCATAAGGTTTTCATAGGCTAATTTTCCCAAGCAAATCACCAGCCTGTCTTAGTGGGGAAGTCCCGTGAAACCTACCTGCCATGGGGACTCTGCTGGTATCTGAAATACCAGTGACTTGTCGTCTTCCAGCAACACAGACAGACACACAGACAGATGGGCGGGGGCTGGAAAAAGAGCTTGCTGTAAAACCATGGTTACGATGACCAGGCCTTCTCCACGCTGCACTCTAACTGTGTCTCTGATGTGTTTTTCAGGGCAGCCTTTGGCAAGGAGTCAGAAGTTCTTATTGGGAACCTGGGCGATAAGCTGATCCCTCCACAAGACATCTTGCGTGACGTCAGCGACCTGAAAGCCTTGGCCAACATGCACGAGAGCCTGGAGTGGCTGGCAGGCCGAACCAAGTCCGCCTTCTCCAGCCTCTCTCCATCACAAAGTGAGTCTCTGGGAGGGTGGCTCTGCTGGGGAAACTGAGGTCCAAGACAGAGCACTTTGATGTGTACCCTATGGGGGAGTGTCCATGTTATCAGAAGATCTGTGTTGGGATTCTGTTAGCAGTCCTAGCTCAGCGAGGCACGAGAAGGTGAAATAGAGCCGCATTAACATTGCTGCTGCTAAATTCCATCAAGTCACTTCCTACTAATAACGACCCTATGTAGTTTCCAAGGCTGTCAATCTTTGCTGGAGCAGAAAGCCTCTTCTTTCTCCCACAAAGTGGCTGGTGGGCATGAACTGCCAACTTTGTGGTTCCTAGTCCAGTGCTTATCCTCTAGAGCTACATTAACATAGCTTGATATTAAACCTCAGGCACATGTACCATACATGTATCATACAGCCGTGTTCTCAAACCAGAAATCAATGTATCTTGTCCTCTTTACACGAACTCAAGGACAGAGAGGCATCCCTGTTCAAGGCTGAACACACCCTGATATCTCCTTGTTTCATGAAAAAGTGACTTAGAAAGAGAATAATGGATGTGACGCTGGTGCTAGCGTATAGAGACAACGAGGAAGACAGTTATTATAGGAAAAAGATGGCTGAGAGAGCTTAATTATAGATTCCAAGGATCTTAAGGACTAGGAGGATGTGAAATAAGAACGGGAAACCTCAGTTACTACCAAGTATCAACAACTCAAGAGAAAAAGTAATCTGAACAATTGAACCCAATTAAACCTAACTCTGCTGGTGTAGTGGATTATGAGCTGAGCTACTAACCAACAG